CTATACGTTTTTGTAAATAATTGTTACCAGCAATAGATTATTACCAGCAATATATTTTTGAAGAAAAATATTACCAGCTATACGTTTTTGTAAACAATTGTTACCAGCAATAGATTATTACCAGCAATATATTTTTGAAGAAAAATATTACCAGCTATACATTTTTGTATATAATTGTTACCAGCAATAGATTATTACCAGCAATATATTTTTGAAGAAAAATATTACCAGCTATACATTTTTGTAAATAATTGTTACCAGCAATTGATTATTACCAGCAATATATTTTTGAAGAAAAATATTACCAGCTATACATTTTTGTATATAATTGTTACCAGCAATTGATTATTACCAGCAATATATTTTTGAAGAAAAATATTACCAGCTATACAATTTTGTATATAATTGTTACCAGCAATAGATTATTACCAGCAATATATTTATGAAGAAAAATATTACCAGCTATAAGTTTTTGTAAATAATTGTTACCAGCAATAGATTATTACCAGCAACATATTTTTGAAGGAAAATATTACCAGCTATACATTTTTGTAAATAATTGTTACCAGCAATAGATTATTACCAGCAATAGATTATTACCAGCAATATATTTTTGAAGAAAAATATTACCAGCGTATTTATTTTTAGATAAATACGTCAGGGACAGAGAGAACACGATGGTATTTGAAAAAATGCTTTCGTGCCTGTCTTGTAGGCCATTACCGATGGTCCAACAAATATGAGAACCGTGTCGCTTGGTTTCTCATTACCGAAAAAGCTGTCTCTTCCTGGTCAAGAGCAAGAGTCAGAAGAGGAAGTACTGCAACGCTATGTCATCAAGCCCAGCCCGGACCTTCAATTGCAGTCGTATATGACTGTCCCTGCGTTGTCCTTATCACTCACAAACGTGCCTGCAAGCGACGTGAGCAGATTTCTTTTTGATCTTCGTTTTGAGAAGCCAAACCATCATGATATGCGGCATTGTAGTCATTTACATACTTGTTGGAGTCTACTCGTTTTCACTATGCAGGAGATACGAATAGGATCATTAATAGATAGATAGATAGATAGATAGATAGATAGATAGATAGATAGTAGTTTCAATATATAAATATATATATATATATATATATATATATATATATATATATATATATATATATATATATATATATATATATATCATCCTTATATTTAGGAAGCAAATGATCTTTAAGGCAAATGTCATTAAAAACAGCAGACATTCGAAAGTTTGGATAAGATTTCTTCCTAGATGAACTTTAGACAACATCTGACAGGATTTCTTCCTTATCTGATAAGGATTATACATATTTGAAAAAGTCAATCAATAAAATTAAGCAACATAAATATATATATATATATATATATATATATATATATATATATATATATATATATATATATATATAACTATGAACCTAAAGAGTCAGGCAAACCTACCTAGGTTTCACCTACGTGGATCGTCAGGGTACGCCGGCCAAAGAGGTAAAATTGGAATAGAATATATATAGCCTACAACATAAAACCAACCAAATGTTGTTTTTTTCATTTACAAGCCAAAATACCTAACGTTTTTCCAGATGAGTATAATTATTTATACTTATAATATTATTATTACATATATATATATATATATGTAAGCAAATATATGGATATAGATCCGACAGTATGAAGAAAAATATACAGAAAAAACAAATAAAAATCCTAATATGCAATTATCCTGTTTTAATGTTAATATAATGGTCAACGTCGGACGTTTCGGTCTAGTAGACCATCTTCAGGACATATTCATAAAACACAATTAACATTAGACTATATTTAATTCAACATGAAAAGACGATGGACATTTTTCAATATCAGCGTTCAGTTTCAATATATACGCCGACATGATCATATTGAAACAGAATGCTGATCTTGAAAAATTTCAGTTGTCTGTTATGATTAGTCTTACTCTTATGTCCATCGTCTTTTCATGTTGAATTAAATATAGTCTAAGATCTTAGATATAGATATTAGTTTAGATACGGATATGAGTTTTGCTGAAACCTAAATGGATCTTCAGGGTTTCATCCGTTTAATTGAAACCTAGGTAGGTTTGCGTGGCTTAGGATTATTCTAGTTTATCGCTCTACTTAGCGTAGTGAGCACTCTACGTCATTGTCTTTCTACTCGTTAGAGTTTTTTTTCTTTGGACTAAGGACATAAAGCACTTGACGATTTATTTCGTCTTGTTCTGATGTTTTTAGTTCTTTCTTTTTTTTATTTCTAATTTTTTCTTCGGGTACCGATTTGTCCTGACATACCTACAAGTTCAGCTATCTGAGGTTTTCCAAACAAGTACCTAATATATATATATATATATATATATATATATATATATATATATATATATATATATATATATAGACGAGGATGATTCAAAAGTAATGGTATCAAACATATCGTACATCAAGTTACAGCTATACATCATAGGTTCACATCCCTACTTCTCTCTTTCGATGGCAGGGTTCTACCTGCAAATGAGGGCATGTATCGCGGCTTCTTAAAACTCGGCTGGCTGCTGACCTAGCCAATTTGTTACAGCCATTTTCAATTCTTCATCACCATCATAACGTTTGCCCCTCAATGCCTTATATATATATATATATATATATATATATATATATATATATATATAATATATATACGCATATATATAATCATACTTATCATAAAACCCAGGTTGTGTGTGTGTCTGTTCGTTTATATATTGGATCGGATTTCCTACATTTTTCAACCGATTTCAACAAAACTTCACAGGACTGCGTAAAATTACCTTGCGGTGGTTCTGACAGCACCAAAAATTGGAAAACACAATTATTTTTGCTCGAAATCAATTTGAAATCACGTTTAAAAGGCAACGCTATCGCGAGAATGAAAGAGGGACAACTCATATTGAGTTATACTTATTATAAAACCCAGGTTGTTTGTTTGTGTGTGTGTGTGTGTGTGTGTGTGTTCGTTTATATATTGGATCGGATTTCCTGCATTTTTCAACCGATTTCAACAAAACTTCGCTTTTGTTTTGGCAGGTAGTGTTTCTTATTGTCTTGCACACTTTTTCATTATTTTTACATTCAGAATGCTTTTAAAATTCCATTTACAAGACAATTGTTTATAATAAAATTCTATTCAATCGTTATACTCATAACGATTGAAAACAATGTTTTTGTTTGAGTTTGGGTTTGACCAATTGGTAAAAAAAAATACAAAACAAAACTAAAAAACTAATTAAGACATGCGTGTCAGTCAACCTTAAACAATAATCTTTGTCAATTTTATTTTTCAGTCTTTATGATGGTCGATACTTGATCTATCTTACTGTTACATCCCCGGGCAACGCCGGTCTCTACTGCTAGTATATATATATACGCATATTGGTGCCAGTGATTGGAAGGTTTTAGTGGATCTAATGATATCCTTAAAATTTCCATACACATCGCACAGACAGACAAGCGTCCCGGCATTGTGTTGTGGTCCGACTTTAAAAAGACTGTCTTCCTAATAGAACTAACAGAGAACAGGGTGGAGGCGCACGAACTAAAGAAAAACCGGTACGAGACACTGCGTGCCGAGTGTATGGAAAATGGTTAGACGTGTCACGTGATGCCTATTGAGATTGGGTGTCGTGGGTTTCTGGGACATTCGGTCATTTCCTTCCTTTCAAAAATAGGCATCACTGGCCGTTGGTTGAAAAGCGTTTCGCATCGCCTTCAAAAAACTGTTCAACACGCGTCAAGTTGGATTTGGTCAAGATCAAAACAAGCAAATAAAATGCGCGCAACATCACGACCTAATATGCGCAAGTGAGATATTTGACTGGTCGTCTATAACGACTTTTACGAGCGCGTCAATAACGGCAAACGCGTTCAAGAAACTTTCATTGCAGATAGATTTTACTTAAAGGAACAATTAGTTAGCTTATCTTCATACCTTGCCTGGTGGCAAAAGCTGCTGGTGGCGCCAGGGGTGGCGGTCCCGCCATAGCCACCGAAACCGTGAGATCACCCCTGGTTGGCAGCTGATGAAGACAGGGTATCGCACGTGCTAACACACGTTGTATGTTAAATATATATATATATATATATATATATATATATATATATATTACCAGATAGATCGATATAAATTATATATATATATATATATATATATATTATAGATAGATCGAAATTATATATATATATATATATATATATATATATATATATATATATATATATATGTATATATAGATATAATTTACTATCGATCTATCTAGTAATGATCCTGTTTGTGTTCCTTAACACTATACACTGAGATCTTAAGTTGTATACCAAGTGCCTCTACATCAAGATCTTTTTACTGTTTTGAGCTCGAAATTCATCTAAGCCTGTTTATGTTAACTTTGCACTAATGTCTTTTCATAAGTCATCGATCTACTTCTCTTTTAGCTTTGCCTGCTTACCATTTATATTGCTAAAATCTCTCGTCACTGACATGGCACAATAGGAGTAGATGTGTGATCCTACGGGCAAAGCCCTTTACTAGTTGACAACTTGTTTAGACAGAAATAGAAAATGGCTGTTACCCCTATTGTCACACTTGACAAAGCACACAAAGAAAAGTAAATTACTAATTAATTTGTTCAGATAAATATTTATTTGTTTTTGTAAGTTCTCGCAAAAAAAAAAAACCGCAAAGAGTTTGTGAACGTTTCCCCATCTTTCATTTCGTGTATTCAGTTCTCGTGAAAACACGTTCACTTAGCGTGAAAGAAGCGAGATTTCGTGACTGAGATTTTAATAAATCTCCATTCTACAAAAACAATTCAAGAGGGACATAAAAAGTGAAACCAAGGAAGAAAGAAAAAACATTGAGTAAAAATAATTAAACCAATAATGATTTTTGAATTCGCCGAAAAAATATCTGTTGATTCCGTTCACAGGCATGAGAAAAAAATGAAAGGCGTTGACAGAAGAACGTAAGTTCTGACATCGAAGATAAGTAGACACAGACGGCATCACCCAAGTATTGCCAATACAATTAAATATAAATCCTACCAATTATTACATATAAAACAATATCTATCTATCTATCTATCACAATCTCTTAATTATCTATCTAACTCGAGTCTATCTGTTCAAATCTATCTATCTCGGTATCTTCATATCTATCTATCCCAGTTTGTTCAAATCTATCTATCTATCTATCTATCTATCTATCTATCTATCTATCCATCTATCTCAGTTTGTTTAAATCTATCTATCTGTTTCAATCTCTTCATATCTATCTATCTCTCTCAGTATCTATCTATCTATTTCAGTCTGTTCAAATCTGTCCTTCTGTCTATCTAATTTGATTCATATTGATCTGTCTATTCAACTATCTACCTTTCTCTCTATCAGACTATTCATTATACATACATACATACACACACACACACACATATATATATATATATATACACACATATATATATATATATATATAAACACACACTCAGACACACACACGCACTACACACACACACACACACACACACACACATATATATATATATATATATATATATATATATATATATATATATATATACCGGTGTAACATCAAAATTGTCTAGATCATATAACAACAAAATATCTCAAAACCCTAGCTAACTGAGTTCCTTTTTCCCCAGGTTATCAGATGTTTAGCCATCTTGACATCATTTGTCGTGAGAATCACTGTAAAAGCCATTTAGTCATTCATTCTTGTTTGGAGAACAGGTTAAAATCACTTTGTGCAAGACCCACTGTCTTCCCAAATGAGCAATGGTGAGAGGAAAAATCATTTAGGCCGTCAGCAATGGTACCAACATTCACACTCTGGCTTGCATCTCCAAAGTCCATTCAAGAACCATCAAGAGAACGGTGAATAAGTTTTTTAAAAAAAAAAAGGGAACAGTAGAGAGGAAAACTGAATCAGGAAGTCACAACAGGAAGGGGGATCATCATTTCAACTTAGAGCTAAAGAGATCAATTAGAAAAGATCCAACTCATTCTATAAGACATTTGGCACCTGAGAGAGGAGTTTCATCTATGACAGTCCAAAGAGCAGTAGAAAAGACTTGAAAATGAAATCATACGTGAAAACTTTGAGGCACCTTGTTACTCCAGGACAGCACGTTAGAAGGTTAGAGAGGGTGAACATCATCTAGAATACGTTGAAAAATGATCCTTAACTATGATTAATTAATGTCATTTTCGTTTATGATCGATTTCATCACGACTTTTCTTATTATACATTCTCATTGCTTAAAGTAGAGTCCAATAGTGCTATAAAAACCTCCGAGAATTCCAGTAAGATATCTTTAATCATTTCTAAGAAACAACGGTTCAGAACTTAATCTAACAATTGAACAATTTTTCTGTTGCACCTGATATATATCACTCTATTTATTATCTATCTGATCTCGTTCCACAATATTATCTAAATATATAAAGGGAATGATGGTGGTTCGTGACATTGTTCCTGGTATGGTGGGTCATAATGGTGAAGACTCGAGGAATGATGGGGGCCCTCAATTTTAAAAAACTCACTTTTTTAAATTTAATTTTATAGTTGCGGAAGAATTAACCTCAATTTTTTAGGCCCTCAATTTTTAAAAACTCACTTTTTAAATTTAATTTTATATTATTGATGCCACATCTGGTGGTCACTCTGTCGCCAGAATCTACCTTATATATTTATTAATCCTTGCTTTGAATCTGGTCAGGTGCTTCTGCTATATATTTTGAGATTCTTGATAAAATTCAAAGAAGAATCTATCTTAGATATTTATATGTCTACCATTCATCCTTGCTTTGAATATTGATGCCACATCTGGTCTGGTGCTTCTGCTATATATTTAAAGATTCCTGATAAAATCTAAAGAAGATCTGGCACATCGGCTTCATTCCATTTCCTATAAAGTAGCTTCCATGTGCCTTTTCTATGAATAATTTTATGCCAATTGATCTCATGAACTTTTTGCTATCAGGAGTGAGGGTATTACTAACACTATTTTGTTTTGCTTTTTTATATAAATTTTATATATTTTATATATTCATTGTGGTTTTTTAATCCCCCTACACACAGACACATACAGAAAAATTGTACACACGGGAGCTACTTAGGTGTTCATAGAGACTCTGAGGCATTATGGTGGCTGTAGTAAGAATGTGTTGTTTTGGTTTAAGTAATACTGTGGTGTGTTTGTGTCAGTAATTGTGGCTACCTAAGTTCAAGACAAGAGCAGCCTTTCCTTACTCCCCTTGTTTGCATTCTTCAAAATAAATATAAGTTTAAGTGTTAGTTATTATTTGTTATTTTAAGTGTTATTTTATTCCCCACATTCAACAGACAAATTTTACATATGGGAAATACTTAGGACTTCATAGAGACCCTGAGGTATTATGGTGGTTGTAGTAAGAATGATAAGTAAGAATGTGTTGTTTTGGTTTAAGGAATACTGTAGTGTGTTTGGGTCAGTAATTGTGGCTAGCTCAGTTTAAGATAAGAAAGACTGAAGATCAGCCTTTTCTTATCCGCCATTTTGGCCTTGAGCCCTTTTTTTTTTATTATATTAAAACGAAATAAATGTTATTTTAGGCTATGGTACCTAGACTTTTAGAATTTAAGCGGACTAGTAGATTGTCGTTAAGTCTCATCATCTTACAGTACAAATGGCGAGATATAACCGTAAGTTCTATGCTAACAGTTTCTTCTCACTAACTTCTTCCTTGTGGAACACTTTTACCGAGTCAAATATGATTTTAAGAAATTTAAATGAAATATCAATCGTTATATTCTGTCTTTTTAATTTCATTTCTTTTATTGTCCTCTCTCATTAATAGTAGTTTTTCTCATATTCTCTAAAACTCAGTAACCTCTTGCATCGTAGTGGCTTTATTGCCTTTAACCTTCAAAAATTTAAATACAATGTCAATTGTTTATCTTCTGTTTTTTTTTTATTCTTGTTCTTTTATTTATCTTTCTCTTTAATAATATTTCTTCTCAAATTCTCTCACACTCAGTACTCCCTAGCGTCTTATCTTAGTGGCTTTAATCTCTTGCATACTAATGGATTTATTGCCTTTAACTTTCAAATATTTAAATGCAATCTAAATTGTTATAATGTGTCTTCTTAATTTCATTTCTTTTATTGTCCTCTCTCATTAATAGTAGTTTTTCTCATATTCTCTAACAGTCAGTAACCCCTTGCATCCTAGTGGCTTTATTGCCTTTGATTTTCAAAGATTTAAATGCAATGTCAATCGTTATCTTCTGTCTTCTTAATTCCAATTCTTTTATTGTTCTCTCTCATTAATAGTACTTTTTCTCATATTCTCTAACACTCAGTAACCCCTTGCATCCTAGTGGCTTTATTGCCTTTAATCTTCAAATATTTAAATGCAATGTCAATCGTTATCTTCTGTCTTCTTAATTCCAGTTCTTTTATTGTCCTCTCTCATTAATAGTAGTTTTTCTCATATTCTCTAACACTCAGTAACTTCTTATAACCACTTTATTGCCCTGTTGGTTTGAAATAATAATATATATATATTGTTGTGGTAGGATCCTCCTAATTTGCATAGTGGAGTACTGACCATATAAATATGGTTGGTACCGGGAAGAGAGGGAGGAATCAAGAGATTCAACCAGAGACTCTGCCCGACTGCGACTCAGTCAACACATTCTCCAGGAACGGTCTTACCAGGAATATACAAAAGACTATATGTAAATATTGTGTACACTTTTTTGTTTCAATACATTTTGTTCTAAGTACATTTTGTGTTGCATTATTATTCCATGCATTAGTCAAGTTTTAAACACACACACACACACATACATATATATATATATATATATATATATATATATATATATATATATATATATATATATATATATATATATTAGTGTACTGGGGCAGCTGATCCTTATTTAAACACTTATTGTCAAATACAACAGACATTGAATGTCTATTATATTTGATCCTGAACCGTCCTAAACTCCGTATATTTGCTTTAATTTCAGGTGTAAATAAAGACAAAAATTGTCCAACATTTTTTTTTTATTAAGCCGTTCTTTGATCTAAGCTTTTGGCTTACATGACACAACTTCAGCGTGGGCATATATGGACATTTAAACAAACATATTTACCACCAAAGATGATATTCTATTATGTTAATATAGAATGTTCACATACGACAAACTAATTCTAAAAACAATGGTCAACTGCGCAAATGCGAAGCTCGTTAGTAAAACGAATGGAGCACTTTGGCTGCTTGGCATTTGTTTACGTTTCTGAAAGCAATACACTAGATTTGGCCGTTTCTTTCTGTCAAGTGAAGATGGCTCAGTGGTAGAAGCTCTGACTGATACCAAATCGGTTGGGCTTCGATGTAGACTTCAGACATTCGGTTGTCTAGTCGCACTGGGGAGCTGTGATACCACGAAACGAATGACACAGTCACAGACACACGCTTATATATATATATATATGTGTATATATATATATATGTGTGTGTGTGTGTGTGTGTGTGTGTGTCTGTGTGTGTGTGTGTGCATCTTAATATAGTAATTTTATATAGTTACATCTTAATGATATATATATATATATATATATATATATATATATATATATATAAATGCAATATTTACAAATACATGAATTATTATTTTATATATACAATATATATTTTCGATGTCCTCTTATTACTAAGAGAAAAAAAAAGTGAAGATGTCTGTAGGAACAGACGAAAGCTTGTAGTAAAAATAACAACTAATACGGCAGAAATTTATATAAACAAGGATCAATTCATTCATAACGGATCTGGAGGTTTTGTGTACTATTTGAAAAGATGGACATTTAAATCATTAACCTTTTTAATTAGTTTTGTGTGAATAATTCATGTATATATATATATATATATATATATATATATATATATATATATATATATGTGTGTATTTGTGCGTGTGTGTGTATATATTACCACAGAGACACATACACGAATGAACCTAATAAAAAACTACTTTATCTCACGGAGAAGGGATTGGTGTGATTGCAATAATGAATAAAAAACCATGCGATGAAAAAAAAATCAATTTCCTAATAAATGATAACAAATCAAAAACAAATAAAAATAACAATAATAATAAATATATATAAATAAATATATAACAATAAATATAAATAAATAAATATATAAAAATAAATAAATATATATATAAAAAAAAATATATATATAAAATATATATATATATAAAATAAATTAAAAAAAAAAAATTCCTAATAAACGATAGCAAAAATGATGAGAAAGTAAACGAAACGCAAAAATTTTAACAAAACGATTAGAAAACAAATTAAAAACGAAGACAAATCATTCTACAGATTAAAAGAATATCTCCCTAAAATATCACCGTAGATTAATCAAATTTACGGTTTTCCTAAAACCCATAAATCAGACATCCCTGTTCGCCACATCAGTTCAGGAATAGCAAGTGCCTCCTACACAAAGACTAGCTAAAGCCGTAGCAAAAATGGTAATTCCTCTCTTTGGAATAATCAGTCTATTATATATAAAAATTTCAGGTAACCTTGTTGAAAAACTAAGGGAAATAAACATGACTGACAAACTCATGGCCAGTTTGGATATAAAACCACTTTACACTAATGTCCCGGATGAAAAATGATTAAATCTCTTTGAAAAAATAAAATAATAAAAAAAAAATCTGCTGTTTATTCACCAATCAATGCTAACAATTTTTACAAAGAAAAATTTGAATTACAATGGGATCATCTCTTAGAATCACAATGGGATTCTTCCAACAAGAGAAGATCCCCACTCCCGGATTTAGATTTAAGTATATCAGCACTTACTACTCAAGCGAATTTCCGATTATTATTATTATTATTATTATTATTATTATTATTATTATTATTATTATTATATACCCTTTGATTTCTGGTGTATACTCATTTCTTTTCGGGTCCGAATCAAAGACCTAAGGCCAGAAATGGCACCAGGATATTTTCCACTGGGCATTTTTTAGAAAAAAAAACAAACAAAAACCTATGATCACACATATTTTACATCGATAAAGGATTTCGTAAGGTGTGGGCTGAACCTGTGAGTACAATTTTTTGTATTTCTTTAAGGTATAGGCTAACAGGAATTCCTTCAGTTAATCTTTTAGAATCTTTCTGATAAATCCGAGGGCTTCTACTTCAACTAGAGTTGTTATTATTATTATTATTATTATTATTATTATTATTATTATTATTATTATTATTAAAATAGTAATAAGAATGTGAATATGAATAAATGATTGCCGGGATTCTTCCAAGAATTTTGAAGACTTAAGAGAGAAGCGCGAATTAAAAGAATAAAAAAAAACTGTCTTTGACAATGTTAAATAATAGTTCGACAATATAACATTCGTTTTCAAGCTATATTTAAAAATTTTATTCAAGTATAAAAATAAATTTACAAAAATTATTTGTCGCGTTGATTACCAGTGCAGCCATTTTTTTCCGAGATAAAAAACGTTTGTACAAAACTTGTAACTTTTTTGTAGAGTTATATATTTTAATGCATGAATTTATTTTTTAAAAGACAAGAATACTATCGAAATATTGTTTAACATTGTCAAACAATGTTTTTTCTTTTTCTTTTCTTAATTCGCGCTCTTAAGTATTATTAATAATAATAATAATAATAATAATAATAGTAATAATCCCTGCTGACTGCAATGTATCTTTGAAGATATTCAAAAAGCTGTCAAAATACAAGGACCTTGAAATAGAAATCTCGAAAATGTGGCATATGGGAACATCAACAATCCCTGTTATAGTTGAAGCCCTAGGACTGGTTGGAAAAGATTGCAGTAGACTAATTGAAGGGATTCCTGGAAGACCATGCCTCAAGGAGATACAAAAAATTGTTCTGACATGTACGGCCCACACTTTACGAAAGGATTTTATCTATGTAATTTTTTTTTTTTTTTGTCAGTGGAAATTGTCATGACATTTCTAACCTTAGGTCCCTGGACGGGACCCGGAAAGAAATATGTAAACGCCAGAAATCAAAGAAAAAATAATAATAATAATAATAATAATAATAATAATAATAATAATAATAATTATAATAATTGACATGGCAGTCCCAGCACATTGTAATGTATATTTGAAGTTCTTCAAAAGCTGTCAAAATACAAGGACCTTGAAATTGAAATCTCAAAAATGTAGCACATGAGGTCATTAATAATTTCAGTTGTGGTTGGAGTCCTCAATGTGGTTGAAAAATATGTCCGATAGACTCATTGAAGGGATTTATAGTAGCCCATGTCTTAAACAAATACAAAAAAAGAAATGTGTACGCAACAGAAACCAAAGGAAATAATAATAATAATAATAATAATAATAATAATAATAATAATAATAATAATAATAGCGATATATGTGCATTGGATTATATGCAGGAAGCAGAAAATCGAAACCACTGAGACATGGTATGACCACCAACTAGACACATTTACCCAAAATAACGATGTAACTATCCTCTGGGACATACCAATACAAACTGATAGGAAAATAGGAGCCAATAGATCTGATATTATCATAAAAGACAAGAATTTCAGGAAGTGTTTGCTTATTGACATAGCAGAAACATCTGAGAAAAAAACAACTCAATGAAAATTATCGAGAAATTGCCCAAATACAACGACCTGGATATCGAGATTAACAGGATTTGGGGAATGAAGACTGAGACTGGACCAATAGTAATTGCAGGAATGGACATTTTTTTCTAGCAGTGTCCCGGATAAGATCAACATACAAGTTACCCAAAAAATCACCCTACAAAGAACATCCCATATACTCAGGAAAGTGCTATCTATTAAATGACAATTCTGCTCTAGGGCCTAAGGACCATATTTTGGATCAAGCTCTACAGGATACAAAGCAGGAACATAACATATATAAATAATAATAATAATTTTTAATTACTCAGTAGAAAATGTCATGATGCCATATCTGACCTTAGGACTCTGGGTGGAACCCGGAAAGAAATGAGTACACACCAGAAATCAATGGAAATAAAACAATAATAATAATAATAACAACGTCCCATTTAATATCAACATACAATTTGCCCAGATCGCCCTATCTATGAACATCCCATATACTAAGAAACGTGCTATCAATTAAATAGCTATTCTCGTATAGGGCCTAAGGACCATAATTTGGACCCAGCTCTAAAGGACAAATAGCAGGAAATATAACATAAACAAATAATAATAATAATAATAATATTTTTTAATTACTCAATAGAAAATGTCATGATGCCATATCTGACCTTAGGGTTCTGGGCGGAACAAGTTAAGAAATGAATGTACACTAGAAATAAATAGAAATAAAAACATTAATTATAACAGTGACCAAGGTAAGATCAACACACGTGACCCAGAAGATCATCCTACTAGGAACATCCCATATAGTGAGAAAAGTATTATTAATTAAATGACAATACTTCTATATGGCCTAAGGACCATAGTTTGGATCAAGCTCCACAGGATACAAAGCAGGAATCATAACATACACAGACAAAAAACACCAACACCAACAAAATAATAATAATAATAATACTATCACTAATTGAGAGAAGTCGAAGTAATCTGATTAAAAGACTTGGTTGCGTTCTGATTACTAAAGCAGGCAAATGCGTGATCCTAAATTAAAATAAGGAATTTCAATGAGGGAAAGAAGAACCGTTGGTTGAATTCAAATCGTAATTAGCGAGCGCCTCTTTAAAGAACTTCCTAATGAACACAGAATCGTTTGAAGACATTTGTAAGGAATTAAGAACTGATTTTTATATTGATATCTTCAGAAAATATAAAGACAACGAGGCGACGTTGATGGTTTTTGTATTCAATGTTTTTCTGGGTGTGTGCACGTGTGTGTGTGTGTGTTTTTTTTCTTTGGTCTTTTCGTGACAATCTTGCTTCCTGCCTTGCACGAGAGCGCATGCGTGTCTTGCAAACAGTGTTAAGTCGAAACAAGTTGAAAACATGGAGATTAATTATGAAAGCATGTAAGAAAAGCATGTAGACAGATATGTAAGATTCAGTTATCTCACAAATTAGGCACAGAGATTCTCACTCTCTCTCTCTCTCTCTCTCTCTCTCTCCTTTCTCTCTATCTATCGCTCTCCGTTTGTTTGTTTCTATCTATCTATCTATCTATCTATCTATATATCTATCTCCGTTTGTATTATCTATATCTATCTCACATCTCATCTATCTATCTATCTATCTATTATCTATCATTTCAGTCTATTATCTATCTATCTATCTATCTATCTATCTATCTATCTATCTATCTATCTATCTATCTATCTATCCAGTCTCTTCATCTATCATCTATCTATCTATCTATCTATCTATCTATCTATCTTATCTATCTATCTATCTTCATTCTCTTCATCTATCTATCTATCTATCTATTTATCTATCTATCCCAGTCTCTTCACATCTATCTATCTATCTATCTATCCATCTATCTATTTCTATCTATCTATTCATCCATCTATCTATCTATCTATCTATCTATCTATCTATCTATCTCATCTATTATCTATCTATTATCTATCTATCTATTCATTATCTATCTATCTGTTTTCATTATCTATTATCTGTTTCATCTATCTATCTATCTATCTATCTATCTATCTATCTATCTATCTATCTATCTATCTATTTCAGTCCCATTATCTATCTATCTATCTATCTATCTATCTATCTATTTCATTATCTATCTATCCCAGTCTCTTCACATCTTCTATCATCTATCTATCTATCTATCTATCTATCTATCTATCCCAGTCTCTTCATTAATGTTTGTGTCTTCATTAATGTTTGTGTGTGTGCGTGTTCATAAATAAATAACACATAAAAAGAAATTTATTATCCAATATGAAGAGAAAAAGACATGATTATCAAGAAATTATTTTAGATCTATGTATGTAAGTAAACTCCTACCTCTCTATTCCGTCTCTCTCTCTCTCTCTCCTCTCTCTCTCTCTGCCTCTCTCTCTTCTTACTTTCTTTCTTTCCCTTTTCCTTTCTCTCTTCAGATAATAGAAAAACTCGTACTATAATTAGTCACATATAAGTAAGAAGCGAAAACAAAATCACACAGTTTATAAAACAGATATGTTTGCTTCGCCTGTCGAATCAAAGCATTCTCCCCCAGCCCCCGACTAGTCTCCCACCCACGCGTACACTTCGCGAAGAAACATGTTTACATATCAAGACCTGATATTTTGATGAAAAATAATAAAAAATGATCAAAATACATAAACTAGGATTGGTTCCTTCGCCATCCACTTGCGTACCTATAGACATTGGCAAAAGTTGATGTACCTATAGTGTGAAAGCAACGGACTTTTGACAATGTCAGTGCCAAAACAAATCTATTAAACTATTCATTATTGATGTGAGTCCGATCTCAAATAGGGCTAAAATGGATACACATTCTTCCAAACTATTGTACTTGATGCAATAGTAGAAAATAATGTTTTTTTTTAAATCATTTCACTCCAAGCAAGGCAATAAAGCCACTGCAAGGGGTTACTGAGTGTTAGAGAATATGAGAAAAACTACTATTTATGAGAGAGGACAATAAAAGAACTGGAATTAAGAAGACAGAAGATAACAATTGACATTGCATTTAAATTTTTGAAGATCAAAGGCAATAAAGCCACTAGGATGCAAGGGGTTACTGAGTGTTAGAGAATATGAGAAAAACTACTATTAATGAGTGAGGACAATAAAAGAACTGGAATTAAGAAGACAGAAGATAACAATTGACATTGCATTTAAATTTTTTAAGATCAAAGGCAATAAAGCCACTAAGATGCAAAGAGGTTACTGAGTGTTAGAGAATATGAGAAAAACTACTATTAATGAGAGAGGGCAATAAAAGAATTGGAATTAAGAAGACAGAAGATAACGATTGACATTGCATTTAAATGTTTGATGATCAATGTTGACTGGGAAGCAAGAAGCCGGAAGAGATTTCCACAAGCGAGAAGTGCGAGAGAAGAAACTGCTAACATAGAACTTTCGGTTACTATTTCAATTATACAATGATGATCCCCAGCGCCAATCTAATACCGCGCTTTAACATGAAGTGTTGGTCCCATAGCGGAAATTTCATAAGAAAAAATACCATGAAAGAATTTACACAAATATATATATATATATATGTGTGTGTGTGTGTGTGTGTGTATGTGTGTGTGCGTGTGTGTGTATGTATGTATTTTTTATAAATACTTTCATGGTAATATATATATATATGTGTGTGTGTGTATAAGTGTGTGCGCACGCGCGTGTGTGTTTGTGTCTGTGTGCCTGTGTATTTTGTATAAATACTTTCATGGTAATATATATATATATATATATATATATATATATATATATATATATATATATATATGTGTGTGTGTGTGTGTGTGTGTGTGTGTGTGGTCGCGCGTGTGTGTGTGTTTGTTTGTGTGCATGTGTATGCAAATATATTGATAAAATAGGAAAGAACCATTAGATTGATGGTCCGAAGTTTTTGAGTATTTTGTTTTTATTTTTGAAAAAACAGTGCTCCATGCACAAGTAGAGCTTAGATTAAAATTATCGGCAGACAAGAATTAGCATGTTTCAAAAGCAGAAGCTAAAACTTCCAAATCAATTATAGAAATTGACTTAGATTAAAGTAGCTAGTTCTGTTTCATTTTCAAGCGAATTCATTCATGTCGTTAATACTGTTTATTATAAACAGAGCATTTACTTAAATATTTGTATCTATAAAAAGAAGCATAAAATGTCTTAAAATAATTGTCGAACTTTGTCCATTTCATATATATATATATATATATATATATATATATATATATATATATATATATATATGAATAAAAATGACAATAGGAAAACTAGTAAATGCTGACGCGTTTCGTCCAATGTGGACGAAACGCGTCAGCAATTACTAGTTTTCCTATTGTCATTTTTATTCATAAATATTGTCTTCTCTACTGGTTAAATCGTAGAAATTTTCATATATATATATATATATATATATATATATATATACAGGGTGTATCAGAAATACTTTTACAAACATTGAGGTGGGTTTCTCACACCAAAACAAGGAAAAAAGTCCATATATACATAGTTATATTTTTTAAGTTTAAAGAAAGTTTACGCTAGATGACGCTCTGTTGACATGTAGACTCGGTTACATTTGTCATTCGTGTATAGTTGTGGCCAGTCTGTCTTCAGCGTTTAACGTGAATAGTAGTGAGTTAACTGAGAAATGTTCCGTTTAACAAGGGCAGGATATTCATATCGTGAGAAGGCAGATATGGTTTTTGCATTCGGCCGCGGGAATGGTAATGGACGCGAGGCTGCATAACCGTATCAGACCGTTTTCCAGGCCAAAGACAGCTGAGTTATCTAACCTTTGCTGCTGTTTATCGTCGCGTTTTTGAGACATGATCCGTGGCTCCACAAACATGTATTACGGAAGACCGAGATCCGCCTCTACACTTGACCACGAAGAACACAGGCTGTCGGAGATGATCCAGGTATCAGAACACGTAAAGTGTCCCTAGCATGTCTTACATCTCATAGTACCTCATGAAGGGTGCTTCAAGACCAGTTCTTGTATCTGCATCATTTACTAACCACGGTAATAGCTTTGATTTATAGCACAAACTGCCGATAAATTGTTTGTCTCTTCAGTCTTGTCTATGAATGTATCAACATTTGGAAGAGATAAAATAACAAATTTACACAAGCAACATTTGTGAGCGGATCGGAACCCCCATGGGACAATACAGGCTAACCACCATTATCAGTTTACTATTAATATGTGCTGGAATTGTAGGGACTGTCTGGTAGGTCCATATGCTCTACAGGAACTGTCTACAGGGACTTTATTTCGAACACACTTCCAAACCTGCTAGAGGATGTACTCCTGCTGTGGTTCATGCATGATGTTGCCCTAGAACTTCGCGATACACTGACTGTCATGTACCATGCAAGATGGTTAGGTAGGGAATGACTGCACGTTCCCCTACCTCAATCCTTTACATTTTTATCTGTGGGGTACCTAAAACAATTGTTTAATGCAGCAGACATTAATAATCTAGAGACGCTTCATCATCGTGTCATGGGGGTCTGAGAAACCATTTGACATCGTGTGGCAATATTTGTTATGAGTTGCTGTGTTGAGCTACAACGGCGGCCTTTTGAATGTTGATATGAACATTTTCCTTTGTCTTTGGTGTCAGGAATGCGTCCCAAAGATTTTTTAAATATTTTGGATTTTATCTTAGATTCTACATTTAACAGCGTTTACCATAAACTTTAAAATTAATAACTCAAAAACAAAGGTTTTGCAGACATATATTTATATTAACATATGCCGTTATTTTGATGTGATGAACTCGCCCGCAAAGTTTAGGGAATAATTTTTATACCTCCTGTGTAGCTTAAGCTAAAGAAAAATATTTACTTTTTTTTTTACAGACCAAAATTCATTTCATGTAGATGTCTAATGACTATCTATGGCTCTATTTTATTATAGATAAATTATAATATAAAAGCAAATCTTACTTCATTGGTATTTTTGTACTAAAGCAATGATTCTCAACGTGGGCCACATGCCCCACCGGTGAGGCATGGTAATATTTTGGTGGGGCATGCGTAGGATGTGCACCCTTCGGCTTACTATACCAACGTGAGCTCAAATTTCATTGTTGGACATCATGCGTAGCCATTTTAATCTCCCAGGAATCTATAACCTGTAAAAAAATGAAAATAAAAAAAATGAATAAGTTATGACTTTTTCAAACCGTTCAGTTTTCAGTGGCCACCCTATACAATGAAAACTTCAGATCAAAATCACTCAGCTAATAATAACTGAGTCAAGTTAGAACAATGATTCCCAATGTGGAGCGCATGCCCCACCCATGAGGCATAATAATATTTTGGTGGCGTGTGCATCCTTCTGCTTACTATAACAATGTGAGCTTAGATTTCATTTTGCATTATTATTTCATGATTAAAATGATCAAAGTATATTTCGGAATAAACTTTCATTCAAATATTTTATATTTCTGTCTTTCAGTTCTCTATTATATATTATATATATATATATATATATATATATATATATATATATATATATATATATATATATATATATATATATATATAACTGTTTTTTGTTTTTTAATTTTACTCTTTCATGGCTGCCAGGGTTTGGAGGCTTGTTTAGAGACCAAATTAATAGCCTTTTAAGCTTCCTTCATGTGAATTACAGTAAAATTTTGAATATATAAGAATTAAATATTACAGGGGGCGGGCACCAGAATTTTAGAAATACCAAAGTGGGGCATGGCCCCAAATCAGTTGAGAACCACTGGGCTAAAGAAAAGCGAAGGGGAATGTAAAGCAAGTTATTGTATCTGTGTGTTTGCATCTGCTGCTGGCAATACCAAAACTACTTGTTCTACTGCTACAATTGCCGAGGTCTTTGGAGAATCACGTTCTTCACAATAATATTGATGCTTTAAACACATTTAAAAAAAAAAAAAAAAAACGAAAACTGACGTGATTATTTATGGTGTGATAACCCGTAATTTTTTTTATGCTGCTTATCATACATATCATGTTCAATACTACACAGCTGTACATTTTGTTTTAAAACGTTATAAAAGCAGATAAAATTAATGAGATTCTGCCATTTTTAAAGCTTCATCTTGGATTGTTTCTCAACATCTCTAAAACCAATGGCAGATTTTTAGGAAGAGAAAGTAAATTCAACAATATTTAATATATTGGCTAAAACTGCCTCATGCGTGTTAAATAGAAACTTACCAAATTGTGTTATATATTTACTAGTGTACCCGTGACGTTAAAATTCATGGCAAGAAGGAATGTATTATAAGTAATATGTCTTATATTATAAGTAATATGTCTTATATTATAAGTAATATGTATTATATTATAAGTAATATGTATTATATTATATTTATAATATGTATTACATTGTAAGTAATATGTATTATACTATAAGTAATATGTATTA